CTCCGGCCCAATGAAGACAGCAATGTAGACGTCAAATCACATATCTAAAAGCCATTTGCCTATACCAGTTCCTATTTATATTAAAATATAAATGTTAGCTGATGAATACATAGAAAATGTTTGTTTTGTAGAAAACCACAAAATCATTTGGGTTTCTAGACCTTTAAAATTCTCATCATAAAGATAAAATACTATGTCAGAATAATGAAAAAAATAGCTAATATTTACTAATATCTTAGTATATTACAGAAAGTACTAGATAGTGATGTATATTTCTGCATTTACAAAAGAAGCAAGAGTTTTTAGATGTTTTGTGTAGTTTCATTATGCACAAGTAGCATGATTAATCAAGATATATATTCATCATCTGTAATTTTACTGAAAACAAAACTGACTTCTATAGGACAGGACGCTGACATGTACCATGAATTTTAGACAATAGCTCAACCTCCACATTTCAGAGGGATTTACTTGATTTCTAGTTGTCTTGTGGTACACAGTAACTTTTTTTTTATTGCTTCTGGTAAAAATGGCCCTAAGTAAGAAGTCAAATGCTTATACTGAATTTTATAAAATTAATTTCCATACTAGAGTGCTATTCCAAGGCTTGGGAATTTGTGAGGGTCTCTGGTATCTGTTTTACTATGTGTCAGGTTGTCATTGACAGAAATCTGGGTACATGGTGACAAAAAGTTTTGTCTGAAAGTTTAAATAATTAAAGCACTCTCCCATAAAATAAACTGTTAAAAATACATAGCTAAAATGAATCTAAAGCCTTTCCTCTAAGGCTTCAGCTTAAGGAAACTAGCAGAGCTAGGTCTGGAGAACTTGGTTGATTCTTTTTCTGCAAAAAGATGTGGATTTCAGAGCACATTTCTGAAAGCCAATTGCAGTTCATAGTTCTTACCCTGCAATGTGGGGATTTTCTCATTAATCTCTTCCTAGAGATTAAATTAACACATATATTCTTAGTATTTATGTTCCAACTAATGAGTTCTCCTCCTCCTTGACTGCAGATTATTTTTCTCCTCATTTCAGGAGATAATCTAATAATTTAATATCGTAATTATGGTTCCCCTTTGCCCTCCCTAGCTCAGATGTAGAGATTCCCTCCCAAATTCATTTTTAAACTATGATTTAGTAACTGCTGCACAGCCAAAATAAAATGAACTTCTCTTTGCTCATTTAGCTGCATGTTCCCTGACCAAATGCTCATTTAGAATCATGACTAACTCTTATGATTCATAAAGAAGTCTACTGGTCTTCTAACTTTTTCAACGAAACTGAATTACATTTTACCTCATTTCTGAATTTTAGCTCCAGAATATATTTGATGGACAGCTGAAGCAAATTTGGCTGTAGTCATGCTGTATAACTATGTTTAATACATGCTTTCTTTCTCTTACCATGTGAATGCATATTCACAGATAGAGCAGCAATGCGTTCCCCCAAATCTCCAAGACAATCCAGAGAAAACAGAAGAGATGGCTAGAATGGAAGTTAAAAGGTTGCAGAGAGGACAACCTGCCTCCTGTTTCTAGAAGACAAAGCCAAGTTTGTGGCAAGACTCTGTCTCAAGGGGCTTTCTGTAGAGAAATTTTTGTTAGGTTTATTTAGTAGTCCTAGAAGGAAAATTATCAGGGAAAATGATGTCAGGATCTTTATAACTGTGCCCTATTCTAGATAATCCACTAACTCACTGCTTTGTAGGTACAGCCAGAGTTTGATAATGGAAATGTTATCTGCAGCCAATACAAAGAAACTTGCCTTATCTATTATGTACTGGTGAAGATTTTGAATATTTTGAGTATTTGACCTCTGAGCACAGTTAGAATTTGTTTGTTTTTAGAGAATCTCATTCTGTCTCCCAGGCTGGAGTGCAGTGGCACAATCTTGGCTCACTGCAACCTCTGCCTCCTAGATTCAAGCAATGTTTGTGCCTCAGCCTCTCCAGTGGCTGGAATTATAGGCAGGCACCATAGCACTCAGCTAATGTTTTTGTATTTGGGGTAAAGACAGGGTTTTCCATGTTGGTCAGGCTGGTCTTGAACTCCCGGGCTCACATGATCCAAGAGTGTTGGCATTACAGGTGTGAGCCACCATAACAGGTTGGGTCAAAAAAATAATAATAATAATAATTGCTGTATTTTAACCTGAATTTTCAAAAGCTTGTTTCTGTTTACAAAATATACACACAACAATTACAGAATATTTAGAAATGTAAAAAAAAAGAAAAAGTCAAAAATATCCAGAATTCTATCCAACCAGTTATGTAATTGGCCTCTAATACACGTATGTTGTCACTGGTAGGCTGAACAAGCAGGATTCATGTAATGTACCAAAAGCATTGGTACATTAGAACTTTGTTTCCCATTACCCTTTAAAAAATCCCATAGAGGTTCATTATTCCTGAAACAGCTGCATAAAAAGTTGGACTGTCCTACTATTCCTGACTACTGATAATAAAAAGTTCTATAATCAATTTGAGTTAGCAGTCTTAAATAAGTAATTAGGTTTGCTAGTCTCAGCATGATCAAAATTCTACTCTTCATTTAAAATTTTATCTTCTTACCCTTCCACCAGCTCAGGTCTGCTTTTGGGGAAGGGGTGTGGTCTGTTATTTCCTTCCCCATGTATTAACTATACTCTCACCTACTGGTATTGGAGAAGCTTTAGAAATTAGAGGTTCAATAGGTAGGATTTTTCTTATATTACTGTGCCTGGCCTATGGGAGCTTCACACCTTCTGGGGCTCACAGATGTTTAAAGCTGCCTTTGGATTTCCTGGGCATTTGTGAATTAACTGAAGCAGTACCTACTGCAATTTACTTGGTCTAGACAAATGCAACCTTAATCTGGCAGGTCAATGTCTAATGAGTCACCACTATAAGTGGCAATTTTCTACAGGCATGAAGGTAGACCACACTGGTTGTGTATCACATGAGCTTATGTCTGGCTCATGGGAAATATATGTATACATTTCTGCTCTCTACTTATGGGATGCAGGCAAGTCCCAACACAGTTTTTTTTTTTGTATTTTTGCATTTATTTATTAAGTGCTTAGCAAACCCATCTTTAGGTTTCTGAGATAAAATCAGACACCAGACTATCATGTCCCCGACACTGCAGGGGATATACATTAAGCCCTCCGTGTAGTTTCATTGAAGCTCCAGTCACCAGGCCTGCTGTTGAACTTATCATAAATCTCTCCAAAATTCCTCTTCATAAAATCTTCTTTCCACAGTCTCCAAACCTTTTCTACCTCAGATATGAGTGAGAGGTTTAATAGTCTAACCTATTTTTAATTATTTTCTTCAAAATATTGATGCTTAGTAGCTAACTTTGAAATATTCACTCTTCTTTATCATGGAATCCTAGCTAAAACTTCTAATTTAACTTCTTAATTATCTATTGATGTATTCTAGCTCCCCCGACTCCACTCCCTACAAACAAGTATACACACACATTCAAGACTTGGGATCTGAAATCAGACTGCCTGGTTTGAGAACCTGATTATTTCATTTCACTAGCTCTTTGTCTCTGAGCTAGTCACTTACTCTTTTTGTGTCTTACTTCATTTATAAACTGAAGATAATAATAGTCCCTGCCTCAACAATATGAATATTTTGAAGATTAATATCATAATACATTAAAAAACTGCTTAGAAAATTATCTAGCACATGTCATTAATAATGTTACCTTCATAGGCAGTAATAAAATCATTAGTATTGTAATTATTATAAATGCTCTCTTTATCACTTTTTTGATGTATGAGGATTTTTACATGTCATTAAATATTCTCCTTTACATTGAATTGTGATAACATATTCAGCTGTATAAAGGCAGTATGATTTTTAATACTAAACTGGACGTATATATCATTTCTAATATTTTGTCACATCACAGTCACTATGTTATCACCTTTGTGTGCTCCTCCCCACCCCGTCTTTAGAATACATTGATTGAACAAGAATTTCTGGGTCAAAATATGATCATTTTAAGGCATTTAATACATATTAAAATTATCCAGCAAAAATTTAGTATCACTGTATATTCTATTTCCAAGAGTATCTTAAAATTCTGGTCTGCCTAATCTACTATTAGATACTGATTTAAGAATGAGAGTATCATAGGAAGATAATAATAATAAAAAAAGACATCGGATGCTTTCCTGTATTCTAATAGAGTGTGTCAAGAGATTCCTGGAAATGATTTGGACCTGGGAATTAGCAAAGCTCATTAAAGGTTAAATGAGGAGAAATCCAATATATCTTCAGAACCAGAGAGTTCTGCTGACATAACTACACTAACTTTTTTTAATAGAAAAAGGAAATGAAGTGAGAATGAGCAGTAGAGACTATCTATTGTGGTGGTTTATCATCAGAAACTTAGATTGAACTGTTTTTATTATGTAAATGTATCTTGTGGATGAGTGTTAATAAACTTCTATTCAAATAAATCAAAATTCTGCTTCTCTTAGGATATATTTTAATTAAAATCCTAAGCACAGTAACTATAGCTATATAGTTGACAAAATAATCACTAAAAGGTGTAAATCATCTAAATACTTGTCTAACATAGAGAACATGATAATTAGTCCATTTTGATAATAGATTAGAAGTTTCACATATGTCATAAGATAAGAATGTTGTGGTTCTCATTTTCACCATTCCAGATAGGTATCATTATGAAGACTATGCCAATTTTATTGAGGTCCCACAAACTCAGTATTACCTGACTTCAGATATTTTCTTTCTATAGCAATAAGGGCACAAATATATTTTTCTTAAATATCTTAATTTAAAATGTCCTAATGTAGAAAACCATCTTTCTGTGATACTCTCTGCCTCTATCTCTTTCTTTTTCTCCCCCTCCACACTCTCTCTCTCTCTCTCCTCTCTCTCTCTCTTTCTCTCCCCCCATGCTCCACAAAGGCATATAATTCCGTCAAAACAAGGCAAAATATTCACCCACCCACTGAATAATAGCCATTAGACGAACCTTATAAAGCAGCGGCAATTTTCCTAATTTCAGGAGTGCAATCCGATTTGTTACATTTTTCATTTTCCTAATCCTTTTTAAATCATCTGTCATTCCATAACTCACATCGATGACTTCAGCCTGAAAGAGGAGAAGAAAACAAAGAAAAATAATGTATTGGAGGAAGAATTATAGCCAATTGTCCATCTAGTATAACAAAATTATTCATAATAATTTGTAATGTTCAATATAGAATTAATTCTATCTCCTACCCTGTCCCCATTACCAGAAACATGACCTTTCTATTTCAATCAAAGTAGAACAATTCTTCTGGGCACTTGAGAAAATGTGTGAGTCATTTTTGCTTTGCCCTCTCTTGTCTAAAAATGTGCCAACACAGTTCGTTCTTCTAACAGACTACATTTGGAATATTCTCCATTCATGTTTCTGGAATATGAGCCATTTTATGAAACACTGGAAGATTAATTTCCTTAGGGTTCAACAGTAATTATATAATTCGCAGGCTTGAATGAAAATTAAAACGTTTTCTATTGCTATTTAAATGAAGTGCAATGTCCTCACTTCCATGGTCATCATGAACGACCACGATTTAAGACTGTGCAATAGCCAGCTTTGAATGAACAATCCTTGAGCTGCGCAGAATACAACCTCTACAACCACATATGCCAGTCTAGCAACCCAGGACTTTAGACTACGGCCCCAAATTATCACCTTTGCCACATTTCCCACTGTTCACCTAGACTTATCTTATATTCGACCTCACTGTTACTCATTTTTAAAAGTCTTCCTGTGTTAATGCAAAAACAAATCTCATGCCTTTCTGGAGATTCCATTAAAAAACTTCTCATGTGCAGTGAAGTACTCCTTGAGAAGTACTGAACTGCAGATTCATATATTCCTATGAATCAAGATGATTGCTTTTAGCTTTACTTTCTGTAATATCTATTTATTGTTAAAGCAATAGTTGTTAGGCTTTCCAGTGATTATATTATAATGTAAATCCTCTATTTCAAATTATAGCATATATCCACAGAGAGGCTGATTTTAAAAAGTTAGTCATGGTAAATAATGGAAAAATAAAGATGGAGAATCCAGATCTGAAACTTTTCATCCTTCTCAATTGAAACTAATGCACTTCAACAAGTTTTATACATAGTACTTCCACAAAAGATTCATCTGAAGAAAGAGTATTGCTTCTAGAGAAACATATAAATATCACCAAATGACTGGCAAATCTGTTAGAGAAAACATTTCTGATGTGAAATATTTCCTTAGCCATCACATTCATCTGTATCTGTAAAAAGTCTACAAATACACTTAAGTCCATTTCAAATGTTACCTACCTGATGACCTTTATTTCTCTGTTGCCCAAATATGGCCTCCCTCTACTCTGGCTACCAGAGTAATCTGTTTTTGCCTCTGTTACGGCCCTCACTAGACACGTCTGCCAGTTTCAGTTTCCAAAACAGGGAAATTCCTTGAAGAGCCCATTACATACTCATGCTCACCCAGGTGTCCAGCGTATGCTACAGACTCCGTAGCTCTTGAATCAAAATGATTGTAGCTCATACACTATCTCCGAAAACTTAAGTTGTACTTTCAAATGGATTTGCCAGGGTATTGTAATTGTTAAAAACACTTATGTCAGAATGATTTTTCATTTTAATTTTATTCATATTAAAATATGATTAAATCAGTGCCTTTAATATAATTTTTTTAGTTTGCTGATATGATTACCATATAAATAACTGTTGATATATGATTTTAAAAGTCTGATTAAGTGAATGATCACATAATATTAATGATTACATTATAAAAGTGAGAAAAACTTACATTTTCCATTTCATTTCTAAGCTACCTACTAATTATTTGTGATTCAGTGACAGCGCCTTATAATAAGGCTATTACTCAATTGGTTATGTAAATGAAAATCTTTTCTATATGTAGTAGATGTTAAGAAAAACCTTACTTGTTTGAGAAGATATAAATCAGTTTGTGTATACAGGCATACATCAGAGATATTGCACGTTCAGTTCCAGACTACCACAATAAAGCAAATACTGCAATAAAGTGAGTCACACAAATGTTTGGGTTTTCCAATACATGTAATACTTATGTTCACACTATATTGTAGACTACTAAGTACGCAATAGCATTATGTCTAAAACAAAATATCCTACCTTAATTTAAAAATATCGATCTGAGTTTTCAGTACATTTTTTTTTTTTTCCTTTTTGCTAGAGAAAGATTTTGCCTCATGTCGTTCGTGGCTGCTAACTGATCAGGGTCACAGTTGCTGAAGGTCAGTGTAGCTTTGATATTTTTTTTTGAAATAAGACGACAGTAAAGCTTGCCACATGGACTGACTCTTCCGTTCATAAAATATCTCTCATGACATGCTGTTTGATAGCATTTTACCCGAAGCAGAACTCCTTTAAAATTGAAGTCCATCCTCTGGAACCCTACTGCTGCTTTAATGGACTAAGTTTACGTACTATTCTAAATTCTTTGTTGCCATTTCAACAATGTTCCTGGGAGTTGAAAAGACAGAGTCTAGGAGAAGATTCCACCTCAAGAAACCACTTTCTTTGTTCATCCATAAGAAATAACTCTTCATCCATTCAAGTTTCGTCATGACATTACAACAATTTAGTCACATCTTCAGGTTCAACTTCAGATTCTAGTTTTCTTGCTATTTCTACCACTTCTGCAGTTAACTCCTTAAAATCTTGAACACCCCAAATTCAGCCATGAGGGTCAAAATCAATTTCTTTCAAACTCCCTTTAGTGCTGATAGTTTGAGTTCTTCTCATGAATCACAAATGCTCCTAATGGCATCTAAAATGGTGCATTCTTTCCAGAATGTTTCAATATACTTTCTCCGATTTATCAGAAAAATCACTATCTAGGGCAGCTACAATCTTACAAATATATTTCTTAAATGAGACGATTTGAATGTTGAAATTACTCCATGATCTAAGGGCTGCAGGATAGATGTTGTGTTAAAAGTCTTGAAAACAACATTAATCTCCTGTACATCACCATCAGAGGTCTTGAGTGACTAGGTACATTGTCAATGAGCAATAATATTTTGAAAGAAATGTTGTTTTCTGAGCAGGAGGTCTCAACAGTGCGGTTGAATATTTTTATTGTGTAATCCATGTGTAAACATATTTACTGTTATACAGTCTTTGTTGTTTCATTTCTAAAGCATAGCAGGGTAGGCTTAGCATAGTTATTAAGGGCCCTAGAATATTTAGAATGGCAACTGAGCACTGGCTTCAACTTCAAGTCACCAGCAGCATTAGATCCTAACAAGAGAGTCAGCCTCACCTTTGAAGCTTTGAAGCCCGGCCTAGACTTCTTCTCTCTAGTTATGAATGTACTAGATAATATCTTCCAACCTACGGCTGTTGTGTCTACATGGAAAATCTATTGCTTAGTGCAGTCACTTTCACTAATACCTTAGCTAGGTCTTATAGATAACTTGCTGCAGCTTGTATATTAGAACTTGCTGATTCACTCTGCACTTTTATGCGATGGAGATGGCTTCTTTTCTTAAACCTCATGAATCAACCTCTGCTAGCTTCAAAGTTTTCTTCTGTGCCTTCCTCATCTCTCAAGCTTTTCACAAGTTAAAAGAGTTAAGGGCTTTCTCTGGATTAGGCTTTGGCAAAAAAAAAAAAAAAAAAAAAAAAAAAAAATGAGGCTTGTTTGATCTTCTATCCCAATCACTCAGACTTTCTTCATTATCAGCAATATGGCTGTTTTGCTCTCTAATTATTCATGTATTCACTGGAGTAGCATTTTTAATTGCCTCCAAGGACTGTTTTTCAGCATTCATAACTTGGCTGTTTGGCACAAGAGACCTAGCTTTTGGCCCATCTTGGCTTTTGACCTGCCTTCCTTATTAAGCTTAATCATTTCTTTTTATTGAAAGTGAGAGACATGCAACTCTTCCTTTCATTTGAACAATTAGAGCCCATTGTAGGATTCTTAATTGGTTTCATTTCAATATTGTTTTGTTTCAGGGAATAGGGAGGCCCAGGAGAGGGAGGGAGAGGGAAAAAGCTGCTGAGTAGAGCAGTCAGAACACACATAATATTTATTGAATCGGTTTGCTGTCTTATATGGGTGCATTTCCTGGTACCTCAAAATAATAACAATGGAGAATGGTACCATCAAAGATCACTGATGACAGGTAACGCTAGCACATATAACTATAATGAAAAAGTTTGAAATGTTGTGAGAATTATCAAAACGTGACATAGAGATGTGAGCTGAGCACATGGTACTGAAAAAAAATGGCACCAACAGACTTGCTAAATGCAGGGTTGCCATGACCTTCACTTTGTAAAAAAACACAGTATATGTGAAGCATGCTAAGGTAAAGCACAATAAATCCAGACATGTCTGTATATCAGAAAGGTATGACAGTTATGAAAATTCCAATTCTTCAAAAAACATTTACATTATTGGAACATATCAATAGGCTGAGTCAACAATGACAATTTTGATTAAATAGCTCTTCAACTCACCTTCTCTAAATAGTACATATTAATAAATCAAGTGTTTTAGCATGTAAGAGAATTTTTAGTTTTCCCCACAAAAAAATATTTCTCAATACAGACAACATTATATCAATTTATTTTGGCTCATGCAGTAAAAATCAATAATTACATAAGTCTCAATGTTCTGCTGGTTTCACAGGCAATGATAAAAATGTATCCATTGCCTTTAAAGGAAGCCTTAAAACTAGATCCTTTTTGAAAGTCTTTTCTATTTGCCTTCAAGCAAACTGAACATCACAGCTGCAGGAAAACACATTAAATTTTTCTGAGGCACAAATCAATATACAACGATATGATAAAATGCCAAGCCATTTCTTTCCACATATACTTGTCACTACAATGAACCTCTTCTTTTGCATTTATTCAGTCACACTAGAAAATTGTTCACTCAGCTGGTTGGGGTGCTATGTTTAACTTATAACCAAACACCAATGATTAAAACACCTCTTCCTGGTCTCTATGGGAAATGTCAAATGAACAGAAATCTAGGTACCTGAGCTATCCATTCTGTGCGTACCACGGTTTTTCTAATGAGGATTTCCTTGGCAC